GAGGGCGGCAGCGTCCCCGGCCGTGCTGGGCCAGCGGCCGGGCCGGGCCTCGGTCTCGGAGGGGCACGTCTCAGCCTCCGCTTATCCTGGGCGCGGTGCCGGCTGTTACCATAAGGGTTCGCTCCTCTATGGACCACGCCCTCCCACGGCTTCCCTTCAGCTGATCCCACAGAAGAGAAAAGAGAAAAATAAAAAAAGCTTTTCCCATATAAAGATGATGGTCAAACTGGGCGCACAGGGGTAGATCTACTGTAAGGATGGTGGTGGGAATGCAATATGAATGGCTGGTGGTGGTCTTTCCTTAAAGAAAGTTGTTCTACTACTGACTTCTCCATTAATGGAAAAATTGGCACAGTTCCCTTCATTGGAACTTGTCAGTCTAACTGATTTTGATTTCTGTGTCTTATGAACAGAATAAAGAGGAGGTGACAAGGCTGGGTTTGCCAGAGAGCACTGAGCAGAGGTTGCTTTTTTGGTAGCAGTCTTAATTTTGATGTATTGCTGAAATACTATATGTGAAACACAGGTGCTGCCAGATGAGCTCTCATTTTGTTTGTTGAATAAGCTTGAGTGTTTGTGGTTAATGAGATGCAAGATTGGGACAGAAACTGGTCGTTTCTTTGGTATGACAGTTGGGTGCTGACATGATGAAATGGGTTACTCAAAGGCTAGCTGACACGATTGAGCTTTTTTTCATTGAGAAGAGAGACAAGGAGGAGGGAGAAAAGGGTGGAAGAAAAGAGGTGGTTAAGTCTGCAAATGAATTTTAAAAAGTTACTGCAAAGAGGTAAGAGTAGCCTGGAATCAACAGTTCTTACAAATAGCATGGGAAATACCATGATTAAATTTTAAGGAAGTGGATCTAGGTGAGGCAGTAGAAGGAATGAGAAGGATGGATAGTAAGGTATTAAATCAGTGAGGTATTCATCAGCTGATTTATGTTACTAAAACTTGGGATTTTTTATGGTTTATTTTTTAGTTATTGAAAAATATATTTTGTTCCTGTTCCTTATGCATTATGTCGATGACATTCTTTCCATCTTTAGAGCTTACTGTTTATTTCTGCTTGCTCATTCACGTTTTCAAACTGTTACTGTTGTATTCGGTACATTATTTTGTGAAAATGTTTCCTTTATCACCTGGCAGTTTTATCCAGGAGTCTTTGATGAGGAACTTTGTGGAATAATCTGTTAAATCTTTATGATTTATGTGCTGGTTGATACCTTCAGAGAGCTCCATCTGATCTGAGGGGTTTTCATTTTCAAAGATGACAATAACTTAACGATGCTAATGTATTTATAATTCCAAAGTCTTGCTGTTTGCCAACAGTCGTGTTATCTGAGAATGATTTTATCTTTCCAGTTGTTTTCTTATCTGGTCTTACTTTGTCATTGATAAATAGCAAATAGAAGGCATCCTCTGTTTTGGACTTCAGCTGTCTGATTTGTCTGTGCTGCTGTCAGATGCTGGCTTACTACTTAGCACAAATGGTTTTATTAGAGTTTTACATGCATGAGTGAAGGTGGGAAAAGATGGAAACAAGGATTAAAGAAAGAGAATGGTAGTAGACCCACACGTATCTGTTGACAATCTCCAAGAAATTGAATTTACCTGTTTTTAAAAGGTATTTAGACTTCTCTTTTTAAAATATTTTTGAACTTTGCACTATGGTTACTTTAAATTAGTATGATCATTCACTGAAAAAAAATTATATGCTCGATACTGGTTCTAACCCATGATGTATTTTTCAGGGTTATTTCACTCTGCTGTGAATTTACAGCAAAATTTTTGTTATAGTCTGCCCAAAGTGGTATGCACGATTTGCTATTAAAACTGTTTCTGTTGCTAGGCCAACTTCTGCTGTTTTCTTCCCCATTTGCTGTTTGTTGATTTGTTTGTTCTCTGAACTGCTGACAGGCACAGCCCTTACTCAGAACAGTTGTATAAGGACCTACATTTTTGTTTTGGGGTTTTTTGGTTTGGTTTGGGGTTTTCTTTCAAAATTAATTGGGAAGAAGGTCCATTCATGGAAAATGCTTGTGGGGAGGGAGTTTGTATAATGTGAATTAAAGCTTAAAACCATTTTGGAATTAAGAAATACTGTTGGAGCTTGCAAATTTTTGAGGCCACAGTGTCACTTGTTGCGTGACTCTTGGAGGCCAGAACATTTTAAAGTTGATGTTTCTAGCACTCTTCTTTGTAAAAGATACACGCACTTCAAATTAGTGGCATGAAAACAGTTTTCTTTCTGGTACTTTTTAAGGAGTCCTCTTTTCCTGCAAAGTAAAAAATGCCTGTCTTGATTCCCCTTGCAGCCAGTGGTGGCCGATTTCTGTGTTTTCAAATTGGCAGGCCTCAAGTGTGTGGGAGCAGAGGGTTATAGAAAGGGCCTATTGCAAAGCAGAGATTAATAGACATATACTCGGTTGGGTTTTTTGTTTGCTTTTGTTAAGAACTTCCTGCTGTCTGCATGCAGGTAATCTTAGGGAGTCTGAATAGGATTGTCTAGCAGTGGAAGGTGACGTATATAGGCAGAGACTTCTCAAAGTGGTTAAAGCTTCTTGTCAGCAGTGTTGTGGGAAGAAATAATTTTTGGACTGAGAATTCTCTCTGGTGGCTGGTGGAGGGGAGGCAGGGTAGACATCGATCGCTTGCTTCTCATGCACGAGGAGTAGGGAGCAAAGGAAGGGATAAATTATCTCAGATTCCCCAAGACTCATGCCATTAAGAGCTCCTACAAATAAGAAGTGGAATACGTCACAGAGATGTGGGCTTTCATGCTTTAACTTGTGGTATGTCTGGACATCATCTGCACTCTTAAAATGAGGCAGGGAATGATATTTAGCAGGAACATTATGCCAGTGAAATACACCTGATCCAACTCTTCAGATTATTGGAATGTAAAACGAAATTTTCAGCTGAGGTAAGTCACTCCAAGAGGAAGGAGATACAGTAGAATCCTCTGATTGAAAATTATGATTGTGTGTAAGAATCGGTTATTTTAAAACTTTCTGCATTAATGGAAATTAAATAATTTCAAAATATAGAAATATTAATAATAAACCATATTAGAAATTTATTCCCTGTAATGTTTTCTAGGTAACAATAAGTATTACTGTTACTCTGGTTTTTGTTAGGTAATGAGAAACACAGTATTCAGGTTGCTTCTCAACAAGAAAATGGTGAACCTACACTACAAGATATGGCTGTACTTATTGAACAAGTCACTGGAGTTCCAGTTCCTTTTCAGAAACTGATATACAAAGGTAACTTCTAAATCTGTCAGTGCTTCTTGTAGATGATACTTTCATTTTCATGTGTCTATGTTTTTAATGTCTTCAAAAAGACAAGCAGCTAATTGTATTTTAACTATTTTTCCTTTCTCATTTTCCCTTTAGGGAAGTCTCTGAAAGAATTGGAACAACCGTTGTCAGCACTCGGTGTTAAAAATGGTTGCAGAGTCATGTTGATTGGGAAAAGGGTAAGTGTTGCCTTTGCAATTGTATTTTTTTCCCCTCAAATTATCGTCATTTCTGTCAGCTGCTGAACACAGAAACAGGTTACAGCATAAACCTAACTGTGTATACCTACCCACAAAGTTAAGTTCAGTCTCATGTTGTACTGCAAATAACTCTGTGGTTTGTACATTTCTGAAATTACGTTATTGACTGACTTCTGCCTTACGTTATTGGTAGACTTCTGTCTAATCTGTTGCTTGTCAGTGCTCATGAACCTTCTGTGCACTGATGACCTTATCTGCCCGTCTGATTTTTCTGGTTAAAAAAAAGAAATAAACTTGTAGCTACTGAGTCTGCTGGTTTATTTCTAGTGAAATGCCTTGTGGCTGGCTTTGCCAAGTGGAGAACAAGATATCATCTCATGATATAAATGTTACCTCTAAAGATGCTAAGCTAACAAAAAAAAATGCTTACGTTTTTCCTTTCTCCCTTCAAATTTATCTCATTTGAGATTATTTGCTAGGTATTAAAATACGGATAGAATAACCAGAGTGTAATATGTATTTTAAATCAGCAAAAGCCTTTATGTCTGTATCATCTGTAGCTGCTTTTTAGCTGCATAGTGACTTTATTTGTTCCATAGTTGTGAATATTGTGCTTTTGAATACACAGAATAGTCCAGAAGAAGAGGCTGAATTAAAGAAATTAAAAGATTTGGAGAAGTCAGTGGACCAAATAGCTAATAAGTTAGAGGAAGTTAATAAGGAGTTCACAAGTATCCAGAAGGTATGCCAGCTTTGTACCATTTTATATCTTTGCAAAACAGTTTTGTAGGTATATGTATTTTTAAAAAATACTGTTTAAAGGTTATATGTAGTCAGTAATAGGCAGTCCCTCCTAACTGTCCAAGGGGCCCGTGAATTTCCTACTGAATTTCAAATACTATTGAGTTTGCAAAATAGAGACATGCCACTATTTGGAAAAAAGGTAAATAGTTTTGCATATTGAATAAATTATATTCTTTAGATAAATTAGATTCTTTAGTCCAAAGTAGAATGTCTGTTACTTGCTTAATTTCTTAAGTAATCCTAGCAGATCTTACATTTAGCATTTCAAGATTGATAGAATACAAATTGAGATTGGAGTCCCTACCATACTTGAAGCTACAGAAGAAGACTTTTTCTGCTGTGGTGGATTGACACATTTTCTAAGATGAGTATTCTGTACAGTATGGAACCATTTTGTCTTTCCTTCCCTCTTTTCCCTCCTCAGGGATTTTTAGCAAAGGATCTGCAAGCAGAAGCACTAAAACAGCTGGACAAGAGGATAAAAGGAACTGCAGAGCAGTTCATGAAGATCCTAGAACAGATTGATGCCATTGTAAGTAAATAACCACAGAAAGAAGGTCAAGTCCAAACAGAAACTTCCTGTTAAGCTTATATCTTTCTTGTAATTTATTTTATATTTTAAAATACTAACAAACTTATTTTGGCTTTTAAAATTAGTTAATTGGTTTGCTCATTTCTTCTTTAATATCCAGCTTTTGCCCCTGTATGTCTCCAAAAGACTACTTGGCAGCATCTATTTCTAAATGGTGACATTAATGCCTGTGTATGCATCCCCATTCTACAGAAGAGCTTCATTTGGGGCAGCAGCCTGCTAAGACTACATGAAATGGGTATCCTTTACTCAAGTTTTACCCTTTTAGTTTGTCTTGGCAAACTTTATTGTAAGTAAGTAAAGGTCTTGAAAAAACAAACAAACTAACCACCAGATAGAGTTTGTGTTCTTTATTGATAAGAATAAGGAGGTCCTGAAGAATTTTCTGGTCAGTCACATGGACTGACAGTACTTTTATCTGAGATGCCTGCATATTGAGGATTGGATTCTTTCTTTGGCATGTGCTGGTGTACATCTAAGTGCTTCACAGTCATTAATGGATCATAACCTTACAGAATATTTCCAGCGTATAGTAACATATCTTCCAGTATCATGTAGTAGACAAGAGCTTACGTGAGAATAAGGGACTTGTGCAGAAATAAATAGAAGATTGTGGTCACTAGGCTATTTCCTGATTCAGTTTCTCTGTCTGCTGGTCATTCTCTGTAAACTTAATTATATGACTATGTTGCGTATCACAATTGTAATATCCTGCTCTGAAGGCAAAATGCTGCTTTTCTCTGGTAGGGATGTCTTCGGGTCTACTCCTCTGCACAGTGACCCTTTATGGGATTGTTTCAGAAAAAGTCCATGCAGATGCCTATAACTGATGAACCAAATGTAGTTTAATTGATGGACACTTTGAAAAAGTTCAGCAGCAGACTAAATCATAGAGTAATAATTTGAATTGGCTATCATCCAATGCTATATAATAGCCAGGAATGGTGGAGAGCTGATTAACTTATTTCCTCCTTTCATATTATGTACCTTTAATAGTAAATTAGCCTTTGCTGTTTGTTCTAGCTAACAGTTCTTAAATACTTTTTGAAAATTGTAGTATGCTAAGTATTTAAAGTCTTAAAGTTTCTCTCTTTGGTCTCACAGAGGAATATATTTTGTTGACAGTTCTTGAATGATGTTAAACATACAGACTTCCTGTAGCTGATTCCCTGTTTGAAGTGGCAGATTTACTGTGTGTTATCGTGAAAGCAGCAATAAGGTGACAACTGTTTAATTTGAATGGGATTAAGGCTTATTTCTGATCCCTTCAATTTATGATACTAAGCTCTTATTTAGAAAAAGTCAGTACTTTTACACTGGTGTACAGTTCTGGAACCCAGCAAGCAGCGTCGAAAAACCCCTTTCACTGCTTCCTAATTTATCCCGAGTTTCCCAAGTTTACTTTTGATTCTGGTATTTTTTGCATGACTTAAACAGAAAGTATACGATTATCTATCTCCTTATCCAAAATGCTCTAAATAGTAATGGACAAAGGGACTTTGAGGTTTAGTACAAGATTTTAGAAGATTTGTAATCTATAGACATCGTGTTTAGGTTTAGGAAATAATGGGATCTCTGTGCCTCAGTTTTATCTATTGTGGAAGTGGAGCAGCCAGACCTAAAACTAATTATAATCAGCATCTTTTAATGTATGTGTTAGTTTTTTGTTACTTTGTTGTATAAGAGCCTGTTTTTGAAGTAAGAAATAAGTGAGGGGTTTTGTTACCCGTGATTGCATTTATATCACACATACCAACATCCGTATTTATTTGTTTTATTACACAAAGGCAGCTGTGGTTTTTTTGTCATGAAAACTGAACTTCTGTGAACCTTATGTGAAATCTTGCAGATGAGATACCTGTAGGTGGGTGGAATCTTTATGTAAAGTGTAGCTGATCAGATGAACAGGCCACCAACTTCATGAGGTATTGCTTAGCTGTACTGTAGTTGTGCAACATACAGGGGCAGCAACGCAGAGTGGTAATGAGGTTATGTGTATGAACAACAAATGGGTTCCACTGAAGTAAAAAATGGTAAATGGAAGTGCAAAGTGGAAAAGCATAGAGCTTCCAGAAAGTATTTTATCTATATCTCAGAGTTGTTTTGCACAGTATTTAGTGTTCTTTTTGTTAACCAAGTAAAAAAAGCAAGCTTTAAAAAATATCTTGAATGCTGTTGGTCATATAGATGTGTTATTGATTCAATCAATAGCATGTTAAAAAAAATAAGGGGTAAAAAAGTAATTGAGTGAGCTGTTTTCTACTAAGACAGAAGAATCAATGCATTGTAGAAGGGAAGCTCACACTGTAAATGTTCCGGTTTGTTTATTCAGCAGAATTGTTGTGAAAACTCTTTAAAGTGTCTTGGCTGTCATACGTTGTTTGGATCAATCAAAACCAGCTAGCTTGATACGAAATTAGATTTGTATGGTTATAAAGCTAAGGCTGAGGAAGTCTGCATATTGTTTTCTGTCAGTTCTAGGAGTGTCACCCTCTTACTGTTAGTAGAGACAAGCTCATTAATTAAAGGAGCTGAGTTTGGAACTAATCCTCATTTTTACTAGACTTCATTTGTTCAACAACTATGGATCTACAGTAAGTTTTATTTAGGAAGTGGAGAAGTAGGTTGGTAGTCATGCAGGATTAGGGTAGGAGAAAAAAAATACAGTAATTGTCACTGCCAGAAGTATGAAAGGAAAGTCTTGAAGGGATGCTTTTGGGTAGAGTAGCTGTACCTTAAACATTTTAACATTAAATGTGTTTATTTAAACACAGTAGCTATTTAGCTACAGTTTCTACTGCAGAAAGGGTGAAGGGATCTTATGTGCATCTAACAAATGTTTGAATGCTGTGACACAGTCAGATGTTCCCATAAGCCACAGAGTTTTTGAAGTTTTCTTCAGAAGGACTGCAAACTGTGTCATGTTCAACAGTTGAAGACTTGTGTGTGTGCATCACCAGAAATGCCATTTATTTCAGCAGTTAAAACATTTGGTCCAGGAGTAAAAGCCAAAGTATGCTACTTATTACAGATCTCAGTGAGTAGAACACAGAAAATCCTTGACCTGATCAGCTGGCACAGATTCTTTTAAATAACTGAAAGGCTTTTTCAAGAAAAAGAATGAAAGCTTTTCAGAGATCAGTAGGAAAATTTTAAATCCACAGGCGTGACACTATGTACGTCTGGTGAGCCTGCTCTAATTTACATGAAGTTTGTCACTGATAATGCAGTCTGAGAGATTACTTTGTTCTCATGATGATTTCATATTAAATTGGTGGATTTGTAGGCTGGAAAGACTATACTGCAGAGAACAGATCGTTCTAACAACTGAAAAAAAAATTCTCTTCTGAAATACCAGTCACTGATTTTGTTTACATAAATTCATGACAAAATCATCTGTCAAATTGCATGTATCAGTATTGAGGACAGGGATAGCATTACTGACTCATAGTTATGTTCTGGTGGCACATCCTCCTTTCTTGAAGATTCTTTAAATTATAATTCCTCTATAAAAAATTACTGTACTGTTCTGATAAATCTTTTCTTCACTGTCTCCTTGTCCCTGCTATACTTGTCATCTGGTAAATCAATACCACATTAACATTTCAATAATTAAAATAAAGAAGAATTGCAGAAAAAACCTCACCATTGTGCCGGTAACAAATATTTCTCAGACTTTTGGGAAGTTTTGCCACCTACAATAAAATGAGAACTTACCACTAAACCTTTGAATTTATCTGGATAAGCAAAAATTTGATAAGCATTTCTTAAATCTCTTAGCATGAATCATAAACGCAAAATCAAAGCTTTGGAGGGAAATGTTTTTAAAGCATAAGGAACATGAAGAAACATTGGGTTGTCAGAAGCTGGAACAGGCTGCCCAGGGAGGTGGTGGAGTCATACCCTGGATGTATTTAAAGAGCGGGTAGACGAGGTACTTAAGGATATGGTTTAGGGGGTAGACAGGAACAGTTGGACGTGATGATCTCAGAGGTCTTTTCCAACCGAGCGATTCTGTGATTCTGTGAAAATGCTAGCATTCCTCAGCGAGGGTACTGTGCTCAGTTACCAGTTTTGCATTCAGAAAAGCCATTGACAAATGCTGTGATTTAATAGCTGCTTTTAAAGAAGCTGCTCAGATATCTACTTGGATGAAAAAGATTCAGTGTCAACATAATGTACTTACCCAGTTACCAATCTGTTTAACAGTAAGTTAAAAAATAGTGAAGGGCTGACAGTAAAAACTAGACACTAAAATACTATACATTGTTTTGGTTTTTTAAAAGAAACTAATGAAAAAGATTCTTGTTAGATGCATGGGGCCTCAGCAAAAAAATCCTTGTTTGCAACGGATTAGCATTGGTGCCATGTGTAGCAGAGTGATTTTTATTTTGTTTAAGTCCTCTGATAACAAACCAAAAATATTTCTAGCTATTACTACTAGTGTCAGAGATTGCCTATTTTAAGAATGGTGTCCCTTTGCTTCTGATAAGATAGTAGTCATAAATAAAAAATGTGACTAGCGATTTTTTTGTTTATTAACTGACTTCACTTTGAAGTGGATTCACATATCAGATATCACCTGCTGGGGTCAATGGTTTGGGAAATAAGAAATAACCGAAGAGGAGAACAAAGATGTGGTGGTAACACTAAGCTTAAAAATCGTTATTGGAAGCACTTCCAAAACAAGTGGAACTTGAGCAGAGCTGAAGGTGATGTTCAGTGGCAAAAGGAGGTGGTTTTATTAGACGGTCAGCTGGGAGAGGGGAAAGAAATGACAAGAGAGTCTGAATTTTGTAAGCAGCAGAGCTCAGGAGAGATTGATGCTGGCTTCATAGATAACACTCAAGAACAAAAGGAATCTAGAGGCAAGAAAATGCACACACATGAATTTATTACTGAGTAAAGGGTGGTTGGTTTTAAGGATCTCTTGCATAAAGCATGAGTGTTGGTGCATACAAAGATGAGTCTTTGAGGATGTACCATGTGTGTCTCTGCTGTGCATCTCGTCGGTGTATCTGCAGGGTGAGAACTCTCAAAGAGATGTGGTTCAGCAACTCTGAATTCAGGGATATGGGGTGGTAGACAGCCACTGATAATGGGGATGCAGCCTCTGTTTCTGGGTGGATGGGAGAGGATAAAGAACCTGTGCCCAGGAGTTGTATAGAAGTTGCTGGCGTGCAGTCACTTCTGAAAGTTTAAAACCATCCAGACCAAGGACTGTGAGACTCGAGCAGGGTTTTGTTACAGAGAAAATGCAATGCGAAGAGGAGACCTGCTATAAAAGTAAGAGTATGCTGTGCAGTAGAAAGCCATATGCTAATCCAACCTACTGTTCTGCAAGCAACACTAGCACCAAAATGTAGACTTGGCAAGAGTTTTGCATAAACACTGCCTAGACTTAAGCTACTCCTTCTTTAATTAAATTTGATTTTAATTAAATACTGAAATGTTATTGTGACTTAAGGTTTATTGCCAGCTTCACCTGTTAAACCCTGAATAGTTGGACAACGTATTCCTGGAGAGGAGACGTAAGCTGACTAAGGTAAAACAGAGAGACTAAGATTTAATTTGATGTTAAGATTTGTAAATTTTGTTAATTTGATTGCAAAACACCTTTTAAGTAGCTTGGTAAGTTAGCACATTTAGGCCTTCCATTCCATGTCTCTGTCAAGAGGATTACAGGGTGTGACTTAAAAAAGCCAAACCAGTTATGAGGGTGTGCAAGCCAACGTAGGAGTTTGCACGCACAGATGTAATTCAAAAGAACAGTTTTGAAAAATATTGTCAAAAGTAGAAATAGTCCGAATGCCTTCTCTACACTCAGATTTCAGAGTTTCCTTCAGTTACCAGCATCTGTTTTAGAAACAGCGTTTATGAGGTATGCCCAGCTGGAGTTCCCTCTCTGCTGTTGAAAGTTAACTGAAGACTATTCTGATGACAGAAAATGGTTTGTTAATTTGCTATTTCAGACTGGTAGGAATATTTGCATAGGCCAGAATCTCCTTCAGAAACCTGAAAGAAATACTCAGCAAAGTGAAATGGGCAGTGTAAGTGAGCGAGTGCATGATTTCATTTTTGATTTACTTAGAAATTCCAAATAATGGAAAACTTCAAGGCATAGAAGAATTTCTGTGACAGTGAGGTAACATCTTTATTTTCTGGTGAGAATCAGACATTAATAATTAAGAGTAACTGATCTTTGTTCTTTCAGACTATTACATATATGGAGTCAAAGTAGTATCCATCATATACTCTCTTTATGTTAAATGTTTCCTGTCATATTTTGTTCAATTAAAAAAGTGAAATGTGTTGTTGAAAACCAAGGGGAAAATAAGAATGCTTTCTCATGTGGGTACAGGATTCTATGTCTAAGATCCCTTAGAAGGCTTTGTATAACTTTATAATACTTTATAAATCTTTTTTTCCCCTGTGACAACTATAAATACTCATAAGGCTGCCTTTTTTATTTGTAAACTAGAACTAGCGTTTGAAGAGAATTCACCAGCAGCTTTGAACTAACTTCTCAGTTGTTTTGTAATGTCTTTGGAACATTCAGTTTCTGAAGGAAAAGCATGTAATACCATCTTTTCAGTGTCCTCCTGTTTGGGAGGAAACATGCAGGTTTAGCACCCTACAGTAAGTGCAGGCTTATTGCAGTGCACAGTACTAGAAAATACACTTTGTAAAGAGCTTTTAAGTGGCTTCCAAAGTGAACAACTGAAAAAAAGCTGTGCTTTGGAAAATGGACTTGTGCCACTTGTAGAAAGAAGTTTTCATTTTAGGTAGTCTGTTGTTGAAAATGTAATAACAGCTTCTGAACCTGTCTTCTGCTGTAAATCCAAGGACATAAGGCGATGTTGCATAAATGAAGGAAGTGACCAATGTAGAACAGGCTCCTCTAGGAGTATTTACATTGTGCATGACAGATTCCCGGAGTTAACCTGGAAACTTGCTTTCAAAGCTACTTCTCTTTCTCACAGAATGAGTTGGAAAGGATAGATAGGTGATGGAATGCATTTTAGGACAAACTGAAGTGGTTTTGGTATTAAGAGGTTTAACGTTGATTTAACATAACAAAGAAAAGCCAACATAACTTTTAGTTTTTAGATATTTCTGTCCTTGTTCATAAGATAACACTGCACCAGTTTGCATTTGGAAGGTTAGCTCCTTTGATCTGCGTACTCTCTGCTGGTCAGATTGATGGTCATTTTTCCAGAAGGGAAATGTTAGAAGTTGATAGGAGTTTTATGCAGCTTAGCAATGCTGCTGTTTGGGAACACTTGTACTGAAGCAACAGAAATGGGAGCTGGATCTACAGGAACAGAAGATCCTTTCTCTTACCCATCTTCCAAGAGCAAACTAACAAAATAAACCCAAAACACTGGCCCTGGGAAAAGGCTAGTGTAGTAGTAGTTACTCCCACTTCCAGCTTTGGTACTCTCCTAGGAGACAAGCAGCAGCATTTGGCATCCCTTCTTCCAACTGAGCGTAGAAAGAATAAGAGGGATTTTAAACCCAAAGTTTATATGGAAGTAAAATGTAAGAATGTGTCCTTGCTCGCTCTATTGCGTGCTCATTTTCTCCTCACTCATGGTGCTGAGAATGCATGCTAAGCCTGGTGATTATTGATTCTTTGTCAGATATCACTTGCAGTGTGCTAATTACTGCACAAATACTGGAGCGGTGTGACCCCTGAACTTCCTGGGATCTCAGCGATGCCTATAGTTTCACTTCCCATGATTGACTTTTTTTTTTTTTTTTTTTGATCTGAAGTCTTGTGTATTTTTAACTCCTGTATTAGGTTATGTGCGAGACTCCTGTGTTTAAGACTGTATATGTTTGGCTGAACACTAAAAGAAAAGAGCATTTTTTAAATTGTTATCAAAGATTATGTATCTAAACCTCCTAGTGGGGCTTGCATTTTGGCTGAGTCAAAGCAGGAGGTAGTATAGGGAAACATCTATTCTTGATACGGAGTTAGGGCAGAAAGTAAAAGGAGCACCATTGAGAAACTCCAGGATTTTTATGCCTTTTCAACAGTAAGAACATAATGTTTCTAAGAGTGTTCACATAAATTTTATATGATGATAATAATCTGTTTTACCCATTTCAGAAAAACATAAACCTGAGCATTGTTCCCCACCAACACCCCAAGTTCACAGTGCTCCAAAAGGACAAAGCATATAACATTTGCAAGTGCGAGGTATCCCTGCCTGTGGCAAGGGGATTGGACTGGATGATCTTTAAGGTCCCTTCCAACCTAAACTGTTCTGCGATTCTATGACATACACAAATATATTGGGCGATAGGAGCATGGAAAATGACGTAGTTTGAATTAAATTAAAAGCTGTCAGCATGTAACACTTGACATCTGTTCCCTTCTGTGAGTAGACTGCGGAGACAATTGGATGTACAGCTTAGACTGGCAATGCCTGCATTGCTGATGATGCATTCTAATGATGGCAAGAGATTGAGTTACTGTGTGCATAAGAAATTAATTCATCTTACAGTCTCTGAAAAAAAAATCTGAAGTTGAAGCTCAGCAGAACAATTAACATACACCACAGTAGACAAGAGCAACGTATGCAGTTATTGTGGTGTGTTACCTAAAGACATGTGGGAAATTTCCTAGCTCAATTCTTGACGATCATGCTGGATCCCTGACTTTCTAAATTTATGACTTTTTCTTTTAAATTCTTTCTATGTAATTATCCTCATTGAGCAAGCATTTTCAGGATGCCTGTTCAGAGGATTCTTTGATACATCCAGTTTTTGCTGTAAGTTTAATATGTTCATTTCAGCATTAAGCTGCATCAACTTGTTTGTTTTACTGCAGAATCTGCCAGAGAATTTCAGTGATTGCAAACTGAAAAAGAAGGGGCTGGTGAAAAGGGTTCAGGTGAGTTCTTTGGCTTTTTGGTTTTACATTAGTGCTGGGCACTTGTATACCAAGAGTTTGTGGAAAAAGAGAGCTGCTAGAGCTTAGATTATTTTCAGTGCTTGTACTTATATTGGTGCTTCTTATGGATCCCCCTTTGAGAGGTATTTAATAGATTTATAAAGCAGTATAAAAAATAGATTTTCATAGTTTGTGCTATTTTCAGATAACGTTTGCTGTTTATGTTTGTGGTTGGCCTTATGGGTGCCTGATGATGTAATATAATTCTGATAACTTACAAGGAAAACGGGATGATTCTGTCTTTCCCATATCTTGGTGGACTGGAGTAATGAATGAGGTCTGGGCACAGAGATGCAGTCAGCTGTAACTCCTGCTGGGACCTTTCTTTGGAAAATGTAGCTTCTGTTGCAATGTACAGACTTTCTATGGAGAGTCTCTAAAGTAAAGTCTCTAAAGTCTGTATGGAAGAGCACCTGTGCTGGGGAATGTTTTTTTTTTTTAATTGCTTTGTCATTGTATGATGCTTATAAATTCCTAGGCATTTTTTCCTTGGAGACCTTGAACTGAAGGTTTGTTACTAAATACTGGAATTTATCCTTCCTCCCTCCTCCTGCAAAGCCAAACTTCTATATTCCATAGCCAAACTTCAATGGTAGTACTACTCATGTGACTGCTATTATTTGTATTCTGCTACCTTCAGTCACAGGTAGACCCCTGAAAATTATTTGTGAAAGTACCTTGCATTCATATATGGAGTTGAAAGGTTTTGTCTTTTATGAAATACATTCTGTAAATGCTTCCCAATTTTTTTTAGAATAGCCATCTATTTTAGAGGAAGCCTTACCAAGAAGTACTTCATGATAGAAGTGTTTTTTGTTATAGCTTTAGGGACAAAGCCCTGTGTACTCTTTTACAGAGGTAAGTTCAGATAATGCAAATTGAAATGAAGATGGTTGTTGGCATAGCTGTGTTATATGGGGCTCTAAACATGCTCTTGATTCCACGTGCCTGACTGAAGCGGTAATAGAGGTATGGCTATAAACCTCCTGGCAAGCTCCACTCTTGGGTGAAGTTATTGCAGAAATAAGTGGGGCTTTTCATAATAACAGCTGTTAAAGCATAGAACAGACTCTTTTGAGCAGAGATCAGAATTATTGATGTGCTTTGATAGGCACAGTGTTCTGCAGCTGTAAGTTATGAACCTTTTGAGGACTGCAGAAGAATCTTAAGGTGATTCAGATCAGAGCAGTCAACAACAATTTGTTTTTCCAGAGCAAGAAAATGATGGCAAGTTCTGCTTATTACTCATAAGTATTCATGAAAAGCAAGAGGGAGCTATTAACTGCCTTCTGTTGCTGGCAATCAAATCTCTTCCAGAATGGGGAGGCAGATATAAAGCGCTTGCAGCCAGCAACTGCAGTTGTTACCACCTTGACTTTTTCATCCCTCAAGTCCATACAGACTCCAGCTCGAGGGATTTGTTGAAAACAAAGGATTCAAAACCGTGTGATGGTTGAGAAACGTTCAGCTGGCACAATGGTTTGCTGCTCTAGAGGGAGGGAAGTTTCTTAATGTCATTCTAATGTAAATAACATGAAATATCTGGTTTGACTGTTAAAGGCTAGCGCAGAAGTAGCAAAACTGAGTGCAAGATGTGAGTATGTAGCAGGAGAGTCAGCTGAGAACCTGCAGTGTGTTGACATAAACTGGAGTCAGCCAGAAGAATTCATTGCCTTAAAGTTCTGGTGCGTTGTGCTGTGTACAATGCAACCAAAGTGACCCATGGCTGCTGGCTCTTAATTACTGAGTGTGCTGCTGTACTCGTAAGAACTTGTGGGCAGGTTCTAAGAAAGCTTAAGGTGCTGTGGACTGCCCTTTTTGGGAAGGAGCCTTCTATCTTTTGAGGCACACCAGCAACTTACTGATAAAAATGAAGGTTTGTGTTGCCCTGCAGTCTTGAGAAATAGAAGAGGCTTTGATTTAATAAAAGCTTGTTTTGAATTTGACTGAGTAGGTTTGTCACTCCCACCCTTGGCTACAGAAGCATGTGGTGTAGAAAGGAATCTAGAATTCATGTTCCAAACTTGAAGCTCTAACTTGTCTGAACCTTTATGATCCTTATAACTGTTGATGAACGTTGGGTCAACTCAAAGTACTTTAGGGGCAGGATTGGTGAGGATGGGCACCCACGTTGTTGCTTTATCAAGTATCATGTTTCTGTTGGACTCATGGTAAACAAAATTGTGAACAAGCTATTACCAAAACCGAACTGGAAGGTGGTTGCTGAGTTGGCTTCTTCAAATTCATGACGGAAAGTGCAGCTTCTGGTCTTAAGAAGCATCTACCATTGCTATAATTGCATCCACAGTAACATTTGTTTGTTTCTTATTCTCAGGTTTTTCTTGCCCAATGCGATACTGTTGAAGGAAATATTGGTCAAGAAATGGACAAGCTACAGTCAAAGAATTTGGCACTGGCAGACTAAAGCATTGCCCTACGTAATTAGGAAACATAATTGCTCTATGAGCAAGAAGAAAAGTTTGCTCTTTGTTTTGGAGCACGTATTCAGCTTTTTTTTTTTCTTTTTAAAGCCCAGTCTGTTAGACTGGTACTAGTCACTCATTTCTTGCTGGTTGTCTTGTTTGCCGCTCGGTTAGACCTATCATTTTGAAAAGAAAATCCTTCCTGAAGAATGGCAGAAATAATCTTTGTGATGAATTGTTGTGTATTTTATGGACAAATGTTTAGTTCACTAAGTTATAAAATTTGCCGTGATGGGCAATTTTTTCTGATATGTCTTTGAATTTATTTACAGCTCAAATCAAAGAAGGTTGATCATTGTACAAGTGCCATAAGTTGCAGTTGTAGGACTTCAGCTTGATTGAAAAAGGCAAACTGAGGCAACATTTGGGAAAGTCGAACATTGTAGTAGACGATTCAGAGCAATAAAAAAACCCCTACGCATTTGTATCTACTTAATATTTGTATGCATTTATAAATATAAGAAAGCTTGACTATGAGGGAGTTGTACCCATTTTAGCCTTAAATTGTCATAATAAATGGCATGTACTGTAACATGTATGGTACTTAATTTTGAGTGGTGCTTTAAGTTGTTACTGAGCTCCTTGATACAGACATATGTTTTTTACATAGACTTCTGATGTACTGCGGTTTTTATAGATTATTCTTATTTTTACTGTTTTTGTTCTGTCTTGAGTTGTGGTGGGAAATGAAATGAGTTATTCATGCTGCTGATATACCAAGGATTCAGTTCAAGCAAGGCATAACTAAGGAGCTATTTTGAAAGGTTGTTTTTGTACTTCTTTTCTGATTTCACTGAATTTATGATGCTATATTTAATGGAAAATTGCAGTGATTATTTCTAGTCTGTTAAGGTAAGCAGTGAATTTTTATAACACGTCACAAAGTGACAGCTTTATTTTAGCAATGCCATGCGACTGAGGGTTATGACTGATTCTCGCAGCTGGATACATGCCACGCTTGGCCTTCTCTGCTAGGTGAAAAATAAGCTTCTACAGGAGCTAGTGACCGTCAGCAGGTGCAGCCAGCTTTGCAGTTGTCGGTCAGAGCCCATAGCTAACGTACCTATAGCGGGAGTTGCTTTTTCACTGTTGCTTCTGGTCAGTAGATTGGTCATATACGCAGTGGCTGGTGAAGTAATGACTGTAAGGAGCCTGTTTCTGTGAGGAAAAAAATAGCTCACTCTTCTCAAATGGGTCAGACTGAGGAAGTTTAGAAATGGCCCTTAGGTAGTGAGTCTTTATCCATATGTCACTGTTCTAGGACTAGCTGTCCTTTTAAGATCAAAATAGGAAATGTGAATAAGAAAATGTTAACTTCTAGTAAGTTATAAACCCTTAAAAATACCTAAAGTATTATTGAAATATTCTCTTTAGTGTTTGTAATTGGAGGAGCATTTCTTTAGTGTCACTGGACAAATGAAGTGACAGCATTAGAAAAGGTCGCTTTTATTCTAAAAATGCCTTTTGACTGTACCAAGATTGGGGTTGCTATATTTTCTACTCTTAACCAGTTTCTTCAAGGCTGTATTTTTTCCATATGTAACTCTCTTTTCAGCATCTGTGGAGGATTTTAAGCTCTAAACTGCTAGGAATCTTGTCTGTCATAAGTTAGGAAATGGTATGTTTGGTAGGACTGTGGATATTTTTTCCTGGGCTACTAGTCTGGTCATGCTGCATTTTCCCAGCACTTTAAGGTTAGGAGGAAGAAGCATTGGTTGAAGCCATTTTTGTGAAGCCCTACCTAGCTTTGTTAGTCAGCTTTCAGATTCAGCTGACTCTTAAACCACCACCGACATGGTTGTGTAATTCAGGGTGTGCAATGGAGGGGGACCTCACTCTCTCAAATGCAAGTCCTCTAATGCATTGAACGTCCACAGGTGCATAGTATAATATATATATTATAAATTATATTGTATAATATGATAAGCAAAGTATCCTCTTGTGCCCGTAAAGAGAACTGGGAGCTGTGGTGACAGCTAGAGCTGTGTCCGTTTCTGCTGCTGCTTCATACTTTTCTCTCTTGGGCAAGAACACTAAGGCTATAGGCAAACATCGTCTTCCCTGCAGCAGCTGCTGCTGCTCCTTGAGATGTGCTTGTGTGAGTACATCCTCAGCCTGTCTCAACGCCAGCTGGATTAACTTTAAGGTGTTCTATAGTAGATCTTTTATCGTTTGATAGTTGATATTTGAGGCAAGGAGAATGATGATACCTTTCCCACCAGCACATCTGGATTCAGCAAAGGGGGGGTGTCCTGAGCTGAAGTTACCTTACAGTGGTAACTCCTGGTATCAGTGATCAGTTTCTGGGACAGAAGTATAAGGGTATGAAGACAAACTTTGGCAGTATACCTTTTTTTTTTTTCTTCCAAATATAAAAATGATTTGTTTTGGAAAATGGATGGTGGTATTTAGAGGTATTTAAGACCTTGTAGAGTGGCTTGATTTTTATACTTGGTTTTGAAAGAGGAGCCCTATGCTTCATTTTTTCATTATAGCCTTACGTTTAGTAAAGGGAAACTTCTGTGCTTTTCAAAAGTGCAGCAGACTATGATTGTGGGAGGAAGGAGAAGGAAGAGGAGATTTTAAATATTTTTCAGAATTTGTTAAGGTTAATGTAGATCTCGATCGAGGTTAAGTTATATTCTCACTGATTCTGTAGTCTAGGTGTACTGTGATACCTGTTGTGCTACTGAATCATTTCTTCGCCCCAGCCATCTGCCCTGCTCATGTCAAAAGAAGTTGCTCCCTTTTGCCTTAGTTGCCCTTACCCCATCATCTTCCTCCAGCTGCTGTATTGCTCTGGCTGTGTTTACGCACCTCGGATTTGTGGGCACGATGTCTTACCACAAAGTGTGTCTGTTATGAAAATGGAAATCGAGTTACACACTTCCCTACCCCCCTGGCTCCTCCAGTTCCCTATGAACTGTTGTGCGAGATAAACCAAACCCCTTTTTCAGCAGAGTCTGGAGCCATGGGATGGCCAGCATTGGGAACAGCATAAAATGCACTGCTTGTAGTAGCATCCTCTGTGACTAAGTCCTCCTGAAGGTAATGTCACTGTAAACCTGGAGTAATGCTTAGTGGCCGCTCGTCGTTTGGAGTGGAGTACTCGACGCTGTGGAACTTGGGACTAGATTTTTTTTTTAGTTAAGTTATTTTATTGTACTATCATAAATGAAAAGGTGAAAATAAAGTATGGAAATTTCTCTGCTGTCCTCGGTCATGCTGTGGGGTTACTAAGTGGGGCGATTGCATGTCACACTCTCTGTCGCAGTACGTGCTGTGTAGTGGGATGTGTTTGGGAACAGCAGCTGGCCATGGCTGGGCCTCCCTCAGTGGCACAGTGACTCAGCCCAAAATGTTGCTGTGACTGGCTGAGGCTTAAATAAAACTTTTAAAAAAAATTTTAAAACACCTTTCACCTTTGTGTTGCACACTGAGGTTATGGGGGGGTTATTTTTCATTATTTTGGGCACTTTTTGGGGCATTTATAATAAATCTTTATTTTCAGTTTCTTCAGAGACATTGCCCACAGTTGGATGACGGTACCTCCCCAGTTCTGGTGGTGCTCCGAAGGCTTAACCCCTGAGAAACCCGACCAAGCCGGAGAGTGTTAATTCCACTCCTGGGACTTTATTTTTGCTGCTGCTCCTCCTCCTCTTCCCGCCCACCC